CCCCTCACGGCTGGAGGTCGAGCAGAGCCGCGATCAACAATAAAACCGCTCATAAAAACTGCCTGGGCACCCGGCACGGAGAGTTTAAGGACTGGAAATAACCTGTAGATATTTGGAAATGTTGGCTTTATCCACTGGGACATGGGAGTGGGCAGGAGGAGTGTGCTCTCTCCCCCGTTCCTGCTGTGGGCTCCCAGTAGCAGGAAAGATCACTTGAGATGGTTCCCTTTCACATCTCTATAACGCAGTGATGCCCTCCAGACTTTTGATTGTTACCATCTTCAGCCAATCTTTGTAAATGCTTAAGCTCCTTAAATTGGGTGTGATGCAGAAATAGTTATTGAGCTGACTCCTGGCTAGTTCTATCCATTGGTGTTAAAAAATACCTGCCAATTTTTTTGTGTTCCCTGAAAATAGGAAATCGTATCCTGCTTCTAGGCCAGAATTAAGCATTTTAGTAGCAGTATTTCTTTTTCTGACACACAGGAATGTTTTTGAAGGATGAAGCATGAAATGTAGAAAAACAGAAATTATCCCTAATTCTTACTGCCTTTTGGTTTGAGCTAGGCAGCATAAAGAAAAAATCTCCAGATGTGTTTTTTGCTTCTCACGTTTAAGTGCATTATTTCCATTAAACCAAAGGAGTGTCTGAAGGGGTATCTTTTTCCCTTCAAAGGTGGAATGTAAGCTCTTTTGTCATTCCTTTTTTTTTTTTTTCAAGTCAAGGATGAAACCTGAAATTCCCTATGTCCATACTGGCACTTCTGGGTATGGCACAAGTACCTTAATCCTCAGGGAGCTTTGGGCTGGCTGGGAACAGAGTTAGCAGTACCAGTTTGCTAATTCCTCCTAGCTAATAGGTTAACACAAACCCACCAGCAGGAAATCAAGGGGCAGGGCTGTGTTTTGACATTTGCTGATTCCACCTGACTCCTGACTGCCACTGCAGACCTTTGGTTAAGAGCAATGAGCATTCCATGCAGCCAGCTGTTTGCAGCTGCCAGGCCTCTGTTCGCAGATTTAAAGACGGGGGAAAAGCTGTGTGCTTTGTTAGATCCCTGTATTAGGTGGTTTGAATGTGACCTGGAAAGTTTGAACTGCCCCTTTGCTTTCTAGATTTGTGTCCTGCAGTGGGCCTTCCAGTTGTAGTTTCTTCCTGTATGCTCTGGAAAGCAGATAGTCTTCAGGTGTGGCAAACTGGAATCCTTTTTTTCTTTCAAAAATCTGTGGAAACTCTGTCTTGTTTCCCCTGCAGTTGCTTACACAGCTTGGAGGAGCTACTGGTGCTCTGCAGCATGTCTGGTGTTTGCGCCCTGTCTGAACAGGCTGGGTCTGCTGATGGGTTCCAAAATCTGACAGCAGAGTAGATTTGAGTCAGCATCTGAGAGGGGAGAGCCAGAAGCGGGTTCATTTAGCCTACATGCTGTTGCACACCAGTTTTCAGGCGTGGAGGTGCTAATCCCATCTGTGCTGTGAATGTGCAGTGGCAGGTGCAGCGAGGCTCGACACAGCATCATGCTCGGTAAAGGATCCTCAGGCCCTGAACTAGGGGAGGCCCAGCAATGCTGGATTTTGAATGCCTGAGCCTATTACTTGCCTCATTTGCTTTTCCCTCTCAGACTCGCTGTAATTACACATGATTTGATCACTGCTGTACTGCCGATCTTAAAAAGAGTTTAGAAAAGAGAAACTCTGCCTTGCATCCCCATAGCTGTGCTGTGTGGCAGTGGGGATTTTATAGTGCTTACATAAAGGTTTAAAGGGTCTCTGCAGCCTCTCCAGAAAAACTGTTTTTCTTTTTGCCTGGTGGAAGACGTGTGGTTGTCAAATACAAGAGAAATGTGCTGTGTCCATCAGTCAGATGGTACCTGGTAGCTTCTGGTTTTTTGTCAGGTGTCTGCTTTATAACACCAGTCGTGAGGCAAATCCCATTCTGATTGCAGAAAGTGGTTAACTGCCATGGCTCACATATTTGAGAGGCGTGGCCAGAAAAGTGGTAACCTTCCTCAGGGTTTCCTGCACACTGTTGAGTACAGAAGATTTCAAGACAGAAGAGGACTGTGGTGTCCCTCTCCTTGCCCAGTTAGTGAGAGAGGACCATTCCAGGTGCTGCTCAGAGAACCTCCCCTCCACTGAAATCCTCATTACGAAGTCTAGTGTGTTAGGGGTATTTGTCATGAACCTAAATCTCTAAATGCCTGTTAAGAGTAGTCTTTTTGTATAAAGGTTACATTTGATTTAGCAGTTAGATTTGTTAAAAATTGGCCAAAATCTTATCTTCAGGAGGTAGCTGTACAAAATAGAAGACCAGCATGAGACAGTCCTTACCTTTAGATTGTGTGAGCAGTGGTCCCACTCCCATGGGCTCTGGGGGAGCACCAGCAGCCTGGACTCGTGTCCTGGCTCAACCACACTGTATCTGTTTCACCAGAGTGTGGTGGTTTAGTGATCAAATGAGTAATAGGTCCCCAACTGTAGAATATAAACTTCTGGCCATGCTCATATGATAGCAGTATGTGGTGTTGTTTTTCGCTCTAGTTTGAAATCAGGCAGCTGAGGGCCCACCTTGCTCAGCAGGACCTGGACCTCGCTGCAGAGAGAGAGGCCGCGCTGCAGGTCCCACACGTCCTGAACAAGCAGAGCAGCAAGAGGTACAAGGTGGTGGCGACGGACGATTCGGACGACGAAGCCACCGAGAACATCACGGAGCTGCGACCTCCCCGAGGTGAGTGCTGCACAGCTGAGCCCTTACAGGGAGTTACTGAGCCCTCTAAACACCTCCACTGTGGCGGGGAATTGATTTCTTCGCTGGGGACTGCAGTTTCCCATCCTTACAGAGAGGCCGCATCTGCTCCAAAGTGGCAGGAGCTGTTGTTGTATTTGTGAGCAGGTTCTAAACAGAGCCAAAGAAATGCCTCGGGAAGAAAATGACTATGATGTACCTTCCCGGTGTCCTCATGATTAGATCCATCAAACACTAAAGAAGCAGAAGCCAAATGAGAATTGGCCAAAGGATAATCACTCAGAGGTAAAAGCAGGGAAATGGAGAAGAACACTGAAAAACAGTTTTGGTCTTTGGCCACTTGCATTTCTGTGGTTTGGAGAGGACCCAAGCTGTGGGGCTTGCCTTGCCTGGAGGCTTTGCTCTCACCAGGCTGCTTAAAACTGCCAGTGTTGGACAGGCAGCTCTGGTGCCAGGGAAGGAGGGATGTGCAGCGTAGGCATCTCATGTCTGAGTGCCGTGTGGCTGTGGTGAGGAGCACTCTGGTGTCTGTAGATGTGTGGTTCAGGGAAATACCAAGAGTTATATTTGCTTGGATCAGTTTTTATTATATAAGTATTAGACCTGAAGTTTTTTCTGCACAAGACATAGCTCTTTTTCCTGTGATCCTGCAGCCCTTACAATGGAGTGCAGGATGTGTCCTGCTTTTGGTAACATTTAATGTAATATTCCAGAGGAGACAACCCTGTTTACCTTAGTGGTATGTTAGTCTTCCTTGGACATCTTAGCTTGATTATTTTGGTAGATGAGCAGTATGTGAATATGTTGGAATTAGAGGTTTGCATGTTATCTTTACATCGGTCAAACTCCTTAAAATTCAAGGCACAGATACTTCAATCAAAATCTGTAAGAGAAAAAGCACACCAGTCATTTTCAAATTATCATCCTTTCCTTTCTCTACAGAGTAATGAAAGCATGTAGAAATTGTTTTGTTTTTTTCTCTTTATAATATCTAAGTACTAACCACAGTGAAGCCATTAATTATTCCTGATATGAAATTGTATTTAAAAGCAGACAGTTGAGCAGACTGCCCCCTAAAATGCATTTCCCCCTTTTTTGTAGTATTTCAGAGGTTTTCCCAGTGGATATATTATAATTTATGTATGTGTTCCTTGAGGGTTACATTTGGAAATGAAGTGTTGCTCACATTGTAAGGAGGCTTGCTGAAATTTTAGTGCTGTGGAGATCATCTAAAAATTCTTCTGTCCAAGGTATTCATTCCAACGTCCAGATTAACATGGTTACTCATTATTTGTGTCTCCCTGTAAAATTCTGCCCACACTTGCAACAAAGTAGACACATGATCTTCAAGATTGATTTCTGCATTGAGTTAGGTTGCTTGATGAGAGAGACTCATACTTTTCACTGAAAAAAGATATTCAGCAAATAAGAAAACATGCATTACTTTATAGATTGGGTGAGGTGCAGTTATGTTATGTTTGGGTTATATTTATACTGAGTAGGCAGAATTAATTTCTGATTCCCAGAAATCATCTGAAAGTACCAGAGGACATTTATCTGGTGCATTGTATCATATATTACATACAAAGTCTTTGTAGATGCATTGGGTGCTTGTCTTATTGCAACCTAAATTAGGGTGACTCTTTTAACAATTTTAACAGGTTTATGTTGAATGAGGCAGGAGTTGGACAGAAAAAATTTCCCTGTGTTCCTCTAGCAAGGGACAGCAGTCTGTGGTCTCTGCCATCACACTGAGCTGCTGAGAAGGGGCCCAGTTCTGCATAAGAAACCACACACTGAGCAGTAGCATTCAGTGCTTTAGTTCATAATCCAGGTAACAGGCAATTGAGATAGAGGATTTTGCATGTAATTTCCTGGACTGTTTTGCAAAGAAAGAAGTAGTAAGCTATCCAGGCTCTGAATCCTGCACTAGCAGTGCTTCTGTGTAACTTTGAAACCTCACCTCACAGCTTGAGAAGGCAGTTACCTCTGGGGAGGAAGGATCATGAGCCAGTCCTGCCTCATTTTTCTCCCTCCCCACCTCAGCTGGGGCTTGCTCTCCCAGCACCAACTTCTACTCCCAGTAATATTCTGGCAGTTGCTACAGCAGCTTTCACCATCATCACTTTGCTGCCAGTATCTTCTTCACCATGGCCATTCTGACCATATATTAGCCAAAGCTGCCAGTGGTGTGTGGGATGGAAGAAGGGCATGGCTTTGGCAGAAGGTGCCTCTGTGTGCACTCTGTGGGAAGGGGATATCCAGCTGGTGTAGGATCTTCCATCTCCCCCCCTGCTGAGGCATGTGCAGTACTCCTGAGACGTGGCTTTGCAGAGCACAGACCATCCAGACAGTTCCTGTACCCTCCCATTCTCCCGTGCTGCAGTTACACTGGCTGGGCTGTCTTCAGGGCTTTCCACACCACTTGCTCTGCCTGGGAATTCAGCCACCAATGTTTTAACTCCTGACTTTTGGGTCAAGTGTTACGTTTTGCAAGTTACCCTCTGTGTCAGACCACATTAGGGATTGCTTTGCATCCATTTTCTCGAAGCTGTGTTTTTCCTCCTTAAAAGAATCCAGAGTGATGGCTGCAGTTAATCATCCTGTGTGCCACATGGCACTTGTGAGCTTTGAAACATATCTGCAGTTGCCTGTTGCACTGATTAGTTAGAGGAGAAATAAGGGACCAAGTCACTAATACTGTCAAAAGAAAAGCAACAGTTCAAAGCCATGATTCAGCTGTTTGGCAGAACAGGCTCTGATGTGCTGTTCTTTTATGCTCTGGCAGAACATTAGCCCTACATATAACACCTGAGGCTCAGGGATGGAATGGAATGCATGTGTTTTTGCCAAACGTAACTTTGTCAGCCTTCAAAAAATCACTGTCTTCTGAGAGCACTGAATGCTGCCAAAGCAGCAAGCTTAAGTTGGCTAGAGAACATACTGCATGAGAAGATGGGATATTCCATCTCAGGCTAATCTTATTTCCCCCATCTGTATGGAACAATGGAAACATTCAGTGCAGAATACCTCACCACTCCATACTTATGGAGTAAGAAAGCATTGAGACTTTTTACACATTTCCCTACCTGGAAGTTTTATGGGATAGTGCATAAGTTAAAGCTCCTCAGGGGCAACTGTAGCTTGTACTCTGGTATTTACACTGGATTTTGTGCAACCATTTATGACAGCATTCAGTAAAGTAAGTCAGGTTACCCCAATATCACGTGGTACATGTAGCACCTCAGGGAATTTGTGCAGAGACACCCACTGTGACCTGCACCAGGAGAGCTGTTCTGGCTGATTTGGGAACTTTCAGTGTCTGTTTTCACCTTGCCTTTCCTTCTGCAGATCTCTTACTTTAAAGTGCCCTAATTGCAGGTACCAGACCAGGAGAAGCAAGAGCTCTGGTCAGATGGACAGGGGGCCCTCCCATAACTCCCCAGCAAACATTTCATGCCTCCTTTTGAGGGATCATGTCTTGAGGCCATACAGCTGCAAGATGTCTCTGTGCTAATTCTGTGAACAGTGAGCTGGGTGCTGCCTCACACGCTTCTGTCTCCCCACAGCAGTTCACAAGAGACCTCCTGACATAGCAGGAATAACTCTGTGGAAAATATATGAATATAGGGTATTTCCTAATTAATTTAGTTAAGAAGCAGGAATTTTTTTCACCTTTAACTTGCTTCGAATTGACATTTTATTTCTCTTGCCAAAAACTTGATCTCCAGAGCAGACAAAGGTGAAGGCTGAAACACAGGCTTCAGCCTGCAAGTCAAAAGGTACCAGTATCAACACCAGGAAGGATGACAGACCCAAGAGAAGGGCAGGGCTTGAGGAGCTGCAGGCCCAGGGCAGAGCTCTGACATTTGCTGCACTGGGAGCACTTTACCTTCCCTGCCTCTGTTTGTGAAGAGCTTGGGCTGAGAGCTGCTGCATGTGAATGCAGCATCACTAATGATTTTCATTGTGGTCAGCCTTTCTCTAAGAGCAAGGGAAGTATCCTAAGTGCTCCTTTCTTCTTCCCAGACATGGTTGCCATTTGACATAATGGCAAATATTATCCTATCTATTAATCTCTAAATTATAAAGGAAGTTCTAAATTATAAAGGACTTCTTACCTCATACAGTATGTAACTGGTCATGGTCAGAATAACAGCTAATGTTTTCTGGTCCTGCACAAATCATTTTTAGTGTTTGGTATACAAAGTTCCAGGCTTCAGGGAATGCCAGGTTCACAGTGCCCCATCTAGCCATTAATACTTCCTTCCAAAATTTATTATTCTTTAATCTCTCCCATAATATATGAATTAGAGTCCCTAGTGGAAATTCCTCATTTTCCTGCATATATCATTTCAGTTTTTGAAATTCTACAGTACTGCCATAGTGTAAGATTAATATGCCACCCTTCTATTCCTTTGAGCAAGAACTGGGACTTCACATCGCCAAAAGCTTATTTTAACTGTTCTGAGTCAAATTTCCATTTTTATGGGGTTAGCACTAAGTCTTTTGCTTTGGGGGACTGCTGCAATTTATGATCATGCTTTAGAGAAAAGTAAAGCTTGCTCTCCCTGTAGATAGCCATGTTTTGTAAGTGAAGAAAGTAGGATACTGGGAGGGGAGCGTGAAAAATTCTGGAGCTTCAGAGGGCTTCTCCTAAGATTATTCATAAGCTGTTTGAGAAGGCAAAGCAGGGCACTTTTTTTGTCAGGATTGTGTCAGTTGTTCCTTGCAAGGCAGTCTGAGCTGGTTGGATGCTTTTAAACTCTAAACCAGTTTCTTTGGTGATCATCTGTTAGTGCTCTGAGAGAGTCCTGCTAGTGCAAAACAATAGATAAAAAATAGTTTATGGTTATTTTCAAATGTTGAAATGTATCTACTTTGAAGCCTAGTCCTGGAAATAGTTGTATCCTAAGTGCACTCCCCTTCAATTTGGCTTCTCTCTAGGTGCCTCCTTCAGGCTTTGTGGTTCTCTGTGCACT